AAAGAAATTAACTGACCAACTAAAAATATATAGAAAAAGTTAGCTGAGCATGGTGGCGCATGTCTGTAGTCCCAGCTACTCGGGAGGCTGAGGTAGTAGGATCACTTGAGCCCAGGAGTTTGAGATTGCTATGAGCTAGGCTGATGCCACAGCACTCACTCTAGCCAGGGCAACAGAGTGCGACTCTGTCTCAAAAAAAAAAAAAAAAAAAAAAAAAAAGAATATATAAAGCAAAAATTCACAGACCTCAAAGGAGATATAATGAAATCCGTAATCATAGTAGGAGATTTTATATGCCTATCTTAATAAGTGATGGAAAATCAGACAAAAGTTTAGCAATAATATAGATTTGAACATTAAGATTAACAAAATTGACCAATGGACATATGGAGACACTAGTTCTATCCTATGCAGAATACATCTTGTTTTTAAACACACACGTAATTATTTTAATTGACCATAAAGTGGGATAAGTTCAAATTTCAAGAATTGAAATCATTTAAAGTATATATTCTTTTTTTGTAATTTTTTTTGAGACAGAGTCTCGCTTTGTTGCCCAGACTAGAGTGAGTGCCATGGCATTGGCCTAGCTCACAGCAACCTCAAACTCCTGGGCTCAAGCAATCCTGCTGCCTCAGCCTCCCGAGTAGCTGGGACTACAGGCATGCGCCACCATGCCCGGCTATTTTTCTATATATATATTCGTTGGCCATTAATTCTTTCTATTTAAAGTAGAGACTGGGTCTCGCTCTTGCTCAGGCGGTTTCAAACTCTGACCTCAAGCAATCCGCCGCCTTGGCTCCCAGAGTGTTAGGATTACAGGCATGAGCCACCGCACCCAGCCTGAAGTATATATTCTGATCACAATGCCACTTTGTTAGATAACTAGACAATACCCATGTATCTCAAAATTTAAAAATGAATTTCTAAATAATTCGTGGATCAAAGATGAAATCATGAAAAAAGAATAAATCAATATGGAAATTAGAAAATAGTTGGAAATGAATGACAAAAATTCTACATATCACAATTTGTGGAATGCAGTGAAAGAAACAGGAAGAAACTTGCATCATCAGTGCATATATTAAGGGAAAGGGCTGAAAATGAATGATCTAGACATTCATCTCAAGAAGTTAGAGAAGGCTGGGCGTGGTGGCTCACGCCTGTAATCCTAGCACTCTGGGAGGCCGAGGCGGGTGGATTGCTTGAGGTCAGGAGTTCGAAACTAGCCTGAGCAAGAGCGAGACCCTGTCTCTACTATAAATAGAAAGAAATTAATTGGCCAACTAATATATATAGAAAAAATTAGCCAGGCATGGTGGTGCATGCCTGTAGTCCCAGCTACTTGGGAGGCTGAGGCAGCAGGATTGCTTGAGCCCAGGAGTTTGAGGTTGCTGTGAGCTAGGCTGACGCCATGGCACTCACTCTTGCCTGGGCAACAAAGAAAGACTCTGTCTCACAAAAAAAAAAGAAAGAAAGAAAGAAAGAAATTAGTCAGCCAACTAAAAATATGTAGAAAAAATTAGCCAGGCATGGTGGCTTATGCTTATAGTCCCAGCTACTCGGGAAACTGAGGCAGGATTGCTTGAGCCCAGGAGTTTGAGGTTGCTGTGAGCTACCTCACAGGCTGACGCCAAAGCACTCTAGCCGGGGCAACAAGTTAGAGAAATAGCAGCAAAATACATGCAAATTAAGGATAAGTATGGAAATAATAAAGACAAAGGCAGAAATTATTGAAATAAAAAACAAACATAGAAAAGATTCGTTTCTTGAAAGCATTAATAAAATTGACAAATCTCTAGCTAGAGAGATCAAGGAAAACGAAAAACCCACAAATAATCAATATCATTAAAAGCAAAGGAGACATTACTACATTTGAATAACTTTGTCAATACATTTGAAAATGTAGATTAAATGGAAAAATTAGTGAAAAACATACCTTCCAAAGCTGACTCAAAAAAACCTCCCATAGATCTTCAATAGTATTATAACCTTCAAATAAATGGAATCTGTAGTAAAAAATCATCACTTAAATAAAACTCCAGGCTTGTATGGCTTTGCTGACAAGTTCTACCAAACATTGAAGGATCAAAAAGTTCCAATCTTATATTAGGTCATTAAATATGAAATGTCTGATTCCAAATCAGAAGTTTAGTTTATTATATCTCAAACAAGAAGCAGTACAATTAATCAAAGCATGTGCCTAAACTATCGACACAGTTTTGCCATCTTAACAATAGCTTGTTTATGCCAGCAGTGAAGAAGCCTGGAGAGCGAGTGGCAATGAAATCGCGAAAGGCATTTTACACAATCTGTTGAAAATTAAATATTTTTCCTTGCAAGAAGTGGTCCAAAGCCTGGAAGAAGTGGTAGTCAGTTATGCAAGGTCTGGTGAAAACAGTGGATGACAGAGTTTCCAAGTCCAGCCTCTGTAATTTGAGTAGCGTTTGTGCGACATGTGGTCAAATGTTGTCTTGCAAGAGGATTGGCCTGTCTCTGTTGACCAATCTCAGCTGTTTAACTGCAAGCATCCCCATCATTTCATCCAATTGGTTGCAGTAGACATTCGATGTAATTGATCGGCCAGGTTTCATGAAACTGTAGTAGATAATACCAGCACTGGACCACCAAACAGATACCATTAGCCTTTTTAAAAAAAATTTTTTTTTTATTTCAGTATATTACAGGGGTACAAATGTATAGATTATGTATACTGCCTTTGCCCCACCGGAGTCAGAGCTTCAAGCGTGTCCATTCTCAGGAGATTGAGTACTGGAAGCAAACAAACAAACAAACAAAAAGCGTGTCCAATGCCCCAGATGGTACACACTACACCCATTAGGTGTGTATATACTCATCCTCCTATCCCCCTCCCATCTGCCTGACACCCGATGAATGTTATTACTATATGTGCACTTAAGTGTTGATCAATTAATAACAATTTGATGGAGAGCTACAAGTAGAACTACCATTTGATCCAGCAATCCCATTACTGGGCATCTATCCAAAAGAACAGAAGATATTCTATAAAGACATCACTAGAATGTTTATAGCAGCACAATTCACAATTGCAAAGATGTGGAAACAACCCAAGTGCCCATCAATCTATAGGTGGATTAATAAAATGTGGTATATGTATACTGTGGAGTTCTTCTCAGCCGCAAAAAACATTGGTGATATAGCACCTCTTATATTATTCTGGATAGAGCTGGAACCCATTCTACTAAGTGAAGTATCACAAGAATGGAAAAACAAGCACCATTAGCTTTTTTTTGATACATATTCAATTTTGGACTGTGTTTCAGTACTTCATCTTTATCCAACCATTGTGCTGAATGCTTGCGATTGTCAAAAAGAATCCATTTTTCATCCCACATAACAAGACAGTGTAGAAATGGTTTACCTTTATGTTGTGACAGCAAAGAAAGGCGAGCTTTGAGACAATTTCTCTTCTGATGTTTGTTTAATTTATGCAGTACACATCTACACAGCTTCTTTACCTTGCCCATTTGTTTCAAATGGTCCAATATTGTTGGAATAATAACATCAAATCTTGCTGCTAATTCTTGTGTAGGTTGAGATGGATTTGCTTCCACTATGGCTTTCAGTTCATCATTATCCACCTTAGTCTCAGGTTGCCCACATGGCTCATTTTCAAGATTAAAATCACCAGAACAGAACTTCTCAAACCATCAATGTACTGTGTGTTCATTAGCTGTGTCCTTCCCAAACACTTCATTGATGTTTTGAACAGTCTGCGCAGCATTGGTTCCACGACGGAACTCGTATTTGAAAAATCACATGAATTTTTGATTTATCCGTGGTTTCACAAAAATTGGTCTCAAAAAATTGAAAGATATTAACAAGTCAAACCATGCATTTGAAACACTGAGGATGTGCGTTTACAATAAAAATAAAACAAGAAGTGTCAAAGTGAAATGTCACAAATATCGACTGTCAAGTTTAGTACGGAAGGAAATCGGACACTTCATATTTAATAACCTAATATAAACTTTTTTAGAGCATTAAAAAAAGAGGAAGAATTCCCTAATTCCTGAATCTAGCATAATCTGGATACCAAAAAACCTGACAAAGAATAAGAGAGGAAAATTGCAGGCTTGCCTTGATCATGAAAATAGATGAAAAAGTCCTGAACAAAATATTAACAATTGGAGTGCAACAGGCACATGCCACCATGCCTGGCTAATTTTTTCTATTTTTAGTTGTTTGGTTTATTTCTTTCTATTTTTAGTGGAGACAGGGATCTTGCTCTTGCTCAGGCTGGTCTCAAACTCCTGAGCTCAAGCAATCCTCCCACCTTGGCCTCCCAGAGTGCTAGGATTACAGGCATGAGCCACGGTGCGCAGTCCGATTCCTTGTACATTTTTTGTTCACTGTGAATCAACCCTAGAGAATGCAGTCAACTCTGGATGAAATGGCAGAATAAGTGTTCTAGACATGAAAAATAAGACTGTAGATTCTGGGGTAGAGTGATCCTCTAAGATCATTTAATCTCCCTCTGTGACACCTCATCTCTGTCTTGATGCACCAGCAGCTAGGAAATGTGTCAAGCCTTGGACTTCAGAAATCATATCTCTTAAATTCTCTGAGAATACCTACTTAAAATATCCTAGTGTTCCTAAGTTTGCTTGACCTCGTATACTAATTTGTGGTTGGGACATATGGCACTGTACTTGGAACTCTAGGGAATGAGGATCCAGAGAAAATGCTTGTAGGGCAGAACAGGCCACTTGGAAAGCCTGCCCCTTGAAAACCTTGTCCCCATACTCCCTACTTAATAACAAACTGTCCAGCCCAATCCTAGCAGAGACATAAAGGAGCTCTTTTTCCCTGAACTTTGGCTGTCAGCGCAGAGCCCATAGGCAGCTAGGGGCAGCAGAGAAGAGACTTAAGCAGCATGCACATTGGCTGGATCCTGTCTGGTTTACCTTGGAATGCCCATTGTGATGTCATACGGAGTCACAGCCTTGAGGCAGAAAACTCTTTGGCTGACAGAGAGGCATGGCTTTGAGGGATGGCACCAACTTGGGGGCTGGTCATCCCATTGCCATCACATGTCAGCCTTCTACTACTATGTGGTTTCCTTGTTTCGGGGTTTTGGGTGTTGTTTTCTAGAAAACGGGGCTGGAAACAAGTGGCAGCCAAGAGAGACTCAGAGGTATGTGACGCAATCTTCCCTTGAAGCTCACTGTTCCCTGCCCTTGAGGACACAGAAACTCCTACCCTTTGGGCTATGGGAGGAATAGGATTGGTGGGGCTGGAGGGTGGAAGGGAAGTTGAGACAGTGCCCATGGGTGTCTTCCTATAGGTCACTTTAAATGCCTTTTCCTTCAATTCATTTCAACAAACCTTGAGCAGTGTACTAGACATTGAGGAAAAATGAAACACTATCCTCACTCTCCAGGAGCTCACAGTGAAGTTGAGGAGATAGTTATATACCTAACTTCAAGGAAAGAGAACGTGATAAGAGTTTGTAGAGGTACAAATGTTGCTAAAGACATGGGAGGTAGAGTATTTTGAAGTAGGGGGATCTATCAAATGCCTTGTATGAGAGCTCAGGTTTGAGTTGTGCTGCAGTGGAAGGGCAGGATCTTGCAGGTGGTTGGGATGGATGGAGGAGAGTGGTGGAAGACTTTCTAAAAAGAGAATAGATCGGGAAAAAGCATGGGAAGGAGAAGAGTATTGGATGTGTCTGAGGGGAGGTGATAACACCAATCTGGGTGGAGAGTAGAAGTGTAGGAAACTCAGTGAGGAAAGAAGTTGGAAAGTTGACAGAGGTCACATTGTAGAAAATTTTGAATACCAGGCTGAACGCTTTGTATAAATATGATTCTGTGCACAATGGAAAGACATCAAAGCTTTTAAAGCTAGGTAAAAAGGTGCTTAGATTTGTGCTTTAAAGCAGTGTTTCTCAAACTTTAACATGCCTGTGAATGACCCAAGGATCTTGTTAAAAAGCAGATTTTGATTTAGTAAGTCTGGGATAGGGGCTGAGATTTTGCATTTCTAACAAGCTCCTGGACAATGCTACTGCTGTTGAATGGAGGACCACACTTTGAGGGAGACTTTAAATAACTCCAGTAAATTTCTGTGGTAGTTCTCTGGCCTAGCTAAGCTATGTTATGGCTTGGTGGGAAGGAGAGAGGAAATAAAAGAATCAAAGCACTAAGATGGAAAAGAGAACATGGATTTATTTCCCAAATGTTTATCACCCACCACCACCTCCATACCTACTCCTCTGTGCACAAAGATCTCTGCTTTCTGGGATGTGAATCTAGTGTACTAGGGTGAAAGTTTGGATGTGGGGGGTGATGCAGCCCTCTTTTGCAAAGGAAGGGGAAGGGACTGAGTCTATTTTTCCTGATGCAAAGAGTTAATTATAAATGTTATCATCATTTCCTATGAGGACTACATTCATCTTTTTATCCCCAGTGCCTAGTAAACTGCCTGGCATATAGTAAGTGCCCCATATATGGCTGTGAAATGAATAAATGACTTCTCAATTTTAACCCTGAATGACTGACAAGATCATGGTGTTTTGAACAACATAGGAAACATTAGGGAAAGTAGTGAGTGTCGTGGGAGGCAGAAAATGAATATTGCATTGGAATTGCTTATAAATTTTATGTGGAGATAGTCATTAAGCAGCTCAAATTAATGGCCTAGACCTGTGATGTCCAATCTGGTATACACTAACCACATGTGGCCATTTAAAGGAAATTAATTAAAATTAAGTAAAATTTAAAATTCAGTTCTTCTCTCCTACTAGCTACATTTCAAATGCTCACCTGTGGCTAAAGGCAGGACAAATATAGAATATTTCCTTCATCATAGAAAAATCTATTGGACAGTGCCAGCCTAGCCTCTAAGAGGTCTTGAAGATAGATATACTATTGACATATTGGGCCACAAAGTCTTTCCAATTTTTTTCTCAGGAAAATCTCTCAACTTCAGCAGTCTAGAGCCAATGTTGTTGTCTTAACTAGGACTTCATCTCTTGAACCATTTACAGTCTCCTAACTGGTCTACAAACTTTTCCCAGCCTTAATCATAGATGGTGCCTCTACAAAACAAAAAGACAACACACACAAAATCCCCCAAACGAATTGTGTCACTCTGCTAAAAGTAACCAAACTAAATCTCTCAATACCCCACTGCCTGCAGCAGTATTTCCCAAACAGTTTTGGCTCTCAAACTTTTTTAACTTTTTTCATAATTTGTCAACCTCCATAGAAATTTAAAGATCATTTTGTCCATTTTTTGTAACATATAAATTATTTCAGATAAATAATATTTTAAAATAGTATGTTTTTTAAAATTACAAAGTTGATTTTAATATAATCTTTAAGAGAAAAGACAAATGTCTACTTTTCCTGTGTAAATAAGGGATACGTGATATTTAATTGACTTTATAATAGGTATGAAAATTTTCAAAACACCTGGGTATGAGAAGTGGCAAATATATTTCTTTGTCTGCATCAAATATAATCTGGTTTAAGCCACTCATAACCTAGGTTGGTAAAAGTCCAATATCAGTTTTTCTCCCCAACCTTTGTGTTGTTTAAGAATTCCAGACTTTGTGTAGTTTATCCGAATAGCAGAGGGTCAGGCGTTTAAGCTTTAGGGGATAGCTGTGGCTTTACTTCTTTGCCATCTGAAGGCAAAACTGTGATTCAATACTTCTGTGCCAACCTTGGTCACAGAGACCTCTGCTAACCCCCTCAAACTGCTGCACCTGAACTCTCAGCACCAGAAGGGCTAAATTCACCAGGCTCAGTTTCCGTGTTGTTTCCTGGTCCCAGGGAGCCAGCTTCCCTCCCCTTTCAACCCCTGAAGCACTAAACACTAAAGCTCTGGCACACTTCAGCTTAAAATCCTCCACAGATCTAGACTTATATTAGGGCTGTCTTTTAGGATCCTGCCAATTTTTGCAGCCCTGAAAAACTAATTCCCTGCTATGTATTAGAAGAACCAAGACCTTGAGAACAAAAGCCTGGCTACTTTGTTTGGTGAGGGGGAATGTGATCTATTTATAGTTTCTTTCTCAGAAGGACACAGCAATAAAAACACAGTATGGTGTAAATTACTCAGTAGGTCACTCTGCTACATAAAACAATAAAATTTCTTATTACATGTTTATGTAAGAAAAAGCTTTTTTGTCAACAAATACATTTTTATTGAGGTATAATTATGTACAATAAAATGCACAGATCTTAAGTGTACAGTATAATGAGTTTGGGTGGCAAGCACCTGTGGTCCCAGCTACTCGGGAGGCTGAGGGAGGAGGATCACTTGAGCCCAGGAATTTGAGGTTGCTGTGAGCTAGGCTGATGCCATGGCACTCCAGCCCGGGCAACAGAGCGAGACTCTGTCTTAAAAAAAAAAAAAAGTATGATTAGTTTTGTTAAATTTGTAGACTCATGTCTCAGGCTGGTCTCGAACTCCTGAACTCAAAGCAATCCTCCCGCCTTGGCCTCCCAGAGTGCTAGGATTACAGGTGGGAGCCACCGCGCTTGGCCCATAACAAATTTTAAAGTGACATTATCTCATGCTTGTTAGTTTGGGAGCTCAATGTGCACTGAAATATAGAATGAAATTTAACTACCTATTGTGGCATTAAAAAAAATGCTTTCATGACCCAATGTCTGGAATTCTTGCACATTACATTTCAAAAAATCAATTGTTTATTTTTCATAATTGAAAAAGATTGTACCTTAATTTCCTACTTTATTCAGGAAAGAAAAAAAAGAAAAGAAAAAAATAAAAATAATTGAAAAAGGTTATACTTACATGACAAGATAAAGAAGGTTTCAGGGCCGGGCAGGGTGGCTCACGCCTGTAATCCTAGCACTCTGGGAGGCCGAGGCAGCGGATCATTTGAGCTCAGCTTGAGCAAGAGCGAGACCCCATCTCTACTATAAATAGAAAGAAATTAATTGGCCAACTAATATATACAGAAAAAATTAGCCGGGCATGGTGGCGCATGCCTGTGTTCCCAGCTACTCAGGAGGCTGAGGCAGAAGGATTGCTTGAGCCCAGGAGTGTAAGGTTGCTGACACCACGGCACTCACTCTAGCCAGGGCAAAAAGCGAGACTCTGTCTCAAAAAAAAAAAAAAAGGAAGGTTTCAGGATGTTACTTGCAAGTGACACATTGTTGGTGGAATCCTTATTTCTAATAGGAGAGGAATTAGTTGGCCATATGGTATGTATGTTTAATTTTAGTAGATGATGCCAGTTGTCTGAAGTAATTATACCAATTTATACTCCCACAAATAGAGTATGAGAGCTCTAGTTGCTCTACATTCTTGCCAACACTTGGCATTGTCTGTCTTTGTCATTTTAGTCACTCTGACATTGTGGTTTTAATGTACATTTCCCTGATGACTAATGATGGTGCAACTTCTCATGTTTGTTGGCCATTTGGAAATTCTCTTTGTGAACTGCCTATTCAAGTATTTTAAGCATTTTTAAGGACTGGGCTGTCAATCTCTTACTTACTGATTTATAGAAAGTCTTTAAATATTATGGACATGAGTTCTTAACAAGATATAGATATTTAAAATAAATTCCCTCACTTTGTGGCTTAACTTTTCACTTGCATTGGAACAGAAGTTCTTAATTTTAATGAATTCTAGTTTATCAATGTTTGCTTTTATGATTAGTGCTTTTTTCCCCCACAAGTATAAGAAATGTTTATCCCTGTGCCATGAAGATACTGTTCTATATTTCTTCTAGAAACCTTATGGTTTTCTTTTCATGTTTAGATCTATGATTCACCTCAAATTACTTTTTGTGTATAGTGTAAGGTAGGGGGTCATAGTCCCCCATGCTCCTCATATAGATATCTAACTCCTCCAGTAGGACAGGGATTAGGGTAAAATGAATGAGACATTCGTTTCAGGCACAAAATTTAAGGGGCACCAAAAAACTTAATAATCAAGATATTTAACTCAATATTATTAAAAATCAAAATTAATGCAAAAAATCTTTGATGAACAGAGTGTCAAAATTTTAAATTTGATCCTACACTTGTACAACCCTTCCTTACCACCTTACCCTAATCCCCATCCTTTCCTCCAGCACCATTTATTGAAAAGACCATCCTTTTCTCATTGAATTTCATTGATGACCTTGTCATAAACCAGGTAAATGTGCACGTGTGGGTCTATTTAAGAGCTCTCTGTTTTGTTACATTGGTCTATTTGTCTATCTTTGCACCAATACCTCACTGTCTTAAATCATGTAGCTTTGTAGTGTCCTGAAATTTGGTAGTGTAAGTCTTCCAACTTTGGTCTTCTACAAAATTGTCTTAATTATTCTAGGTCATTGCATTTCCATATAAATTTTTGAATCATTCTGTTGTCACACAAAAAACATACATGGTTTTGGTTGGGATTGTATTGTATTTATACTTCAGATAGGAGATAACTGACATCCTAAAAATATTAATAATATTTAGTTTTCAATATAGGGGGTGAAGCTATATTAAAATTTTTTTTTATAGACAGTCTCACTATCACCTAGGCCATAGTGCAGTAGCATTATCATAGTTCACTGCAGCCTCAAACTCCTGGGCTTAAGTGATCCTTCTGCTCCCCCCGTCCCCCCCCCACCCCCTGCCACAGTAGTAGGGTTATAGGCATGAGCCAGTAAGCCTGGCCTTTTCCCCTCATTTTTTTAAAGAAAATTTTCAAACAAATTGAAAGCACATAGAAATGTATAAGGTATTGTCATGGATCTATCACCTAGCTATGACTCTCTTACCACATTATTTTGAAGCAAATCTCAGATAATATAATTTCATTTATAAATAGTTTAGTATATATATTTATAAGACAAGAACTCTTTAAGAATACTTAAACACAACACCATTATTATGCTTAAAATGAACCATAATTCCTTAACACATTAAATATCCATCAATATTCAAATTCCAATTGTCTCACAAGTGACATAAATTATTTTTACAATCTATTTGTTTGACTCAAAATCACATATTGAGATTGATTTGCATGTCTCTTAAGTCTCTAATAATCTGTATATTCCCTACCTCCATTTCTTTCTTTTAGTCTATCCATTTATGTGTTGAAGAAATTGGTCATTTGTCCTCTAAATTTTGCAACAACATTTTGCTGATTAAATGTCCACGTCGTCATTTAATATGTTCCATTGTCTTCTTTATTTCCTGTTAAAGGGGAAGTTGGATCTAAGACTTATCAGAATTAGTTTTTTGTGTGTTGGGGAGATTTTCATAGGTGATAATGATTATCAAGAAGTACATTGCTTTAAAACACCACTTCAAAAAATAAAAAAAAAAAAAAAAAGAAGTACACAATATCTAATTTGGTATGGTATTTTAAATGTCATTTCTAGTTGATGCTGGTACTTGAATATATAATAGATATTTCTTTCTTTCCTTTTTTTTTTTTCTAGAGACAGAGTCTTGCTCTGTTGCCCAGGATGGAGTGCAGTAGTGCAATGATACTCACTGCAGCCTTGAATGCCTGGGCTCAAGTGATCCTCCTGCCATAGCCTCTCGAGTAGCTGGGACTACAGGTGCATGCCACCATGCCCAGCTAATATTTTTATTTTTTGTAGACTCAGGGTCTTGCTGTGTTGCCCAGGCTGGTCTCGAACTCCTGGACTCAAGCGATCGTCCTGTTTCCCAAAGTGTTGGGATTACAGGTGTGAGCCACCACACCCAGCCACGATAGATATTTCTTTTTTTTTTTTTGAGACAGCATCTCGCTATATTGCTGGACCCAGAGTGCTGTGGCATCAGTGTAGCTCACAGCAACTTCAAACTCCTGGGCTCAAGCAATCCTACTGCCTCAGCCTCCCAAGTAGCTGGGACTACAGGCATACGTCACCATGCCCAGCTAATTTTTTCTATATATATTAGTTAGCCAATTAATTTCTTTCTGTTTTTAGTAGAGACGGGGGTCTTACTCTTGCTCAGGCTGGTTTCGAACTCCTGACCTCGAGCAATCCACCCACCTCGGCCTCTCAGAGTGCTAGGATTACAGGTGTGAGCTACTGCGCCTGGCCACGATAGATATTTCTATATTGACCTTCTAGCTGGAGAGCTTGCTAAATTTGCTTATCAATACTAATTTATTTACAGATGTTTTTGGATATTCTACACAACTGTATTATCTGCAAATAATGATAATTTAATTTTTCCCTTTCAAATTCTTATACCTTTTCTTTTCCTTTCTTTATTGCATTGATTAGGATTTCTAGTACAATGTTCAGTAGAAGAGGTGTAGTGAAGATCCTTATTTTCTTTTTTTATGTAGAAGAAAGTTTTCAATAATTCACAATTTACCTGTAGAGCTTGCTATAGAGTTTGCTATATAAGTACTCTTTATCAAATTAAGGAAGTTCTCTTTTATTTCTAGTTTGCTAATAGTTTTAGCATGAATGGGTGTTAAATTTTATCAAGTGCTTTTCCTGCCTCTATTTCTCAATAGATTTTTCTTATTCTATTAATGTGTTGGATTACACTGTTTTAAAAATAATAAACCATAGGATGCACAGGACAGCCAAAATAAATAAACCAACAGTGAATTCCTGGAATAAATATAACATGTTCATGATACTTTTCTTATATTATTGTATTCAATTTGCTGATATTTTAAGATTTTTGTATGAAAGAAATTGACTTGTAATTTTCTTTTTCTTTTTTTTGAGACAGAGTCTTACTTTGTTGCCTGGGCTAGAGTGCCGTGGCATCAGCCTAGCTCACAGCAACCTCAAACTCCTGGGCTCAAGTGATCCTTCTGCCTCAGCCTCCCGAGTAGCTGGAACTACAGGCATGCGCCACCATGCCTGGCTAATTTTTTCTCTATATATTAGTTGGCCAATTAATTTCTTTCTATTTAAAGTAGAGACTGGGTCTCGCTCTTGCTCAGGCTGGTTTCAAACTCCTGACCTCAAGCAATCCGCCCGCCTTGGCCTCCCAGAGTGTTAGGATCACAGGCATGAGCCACCGCACCCAGCCGACTTGTAATTTTTTTTTCTAGTATTGTCTTTACCAGATTTTAGAATCAAGGTTATCCCAGCTTCCTAAAGTAGAGGGAGAAGTAATCTCTTTTTCACCTCATTAGCACCCCTAACACTCATTAAATTCCAAAGGTTTTGATGCTCTGTGCTAGGAACTAGGGACAAAAACCAGTTTATTCTTTGTTATAATACATGCACACACACACATGTACATATATATGAAATAGAGAGAGAGATATTAAGGAATTGGCTCATACAATTGTAGGGGCTAACAAGTTCAAAATCTAGAGGGCAGGCTAGAAACTAAGGTAAGAGTTGATGTTGCAGTCTTGAGTCCAAAATCTGCAAGGCAGGCCAGGCTGGAAATTCAGGCAAAAAACACATTTTTTTTGAGACAGAATCTCACTGTGTCACCCCAGGTAGAGTGCAGTGGCGTCATCCTTACTCACTGCAACCTCAAACTCCTGGGCTCAAGAGATCCTTCTGCCTCAGCCCTCTGAGTAGCTGGGGTATAAGCATACACCACCATGACTGGCTAATTTTTCTATTTTTTGTAGATTCAGGGTCTTACTCTTGCTCAAACTGGTCTCGAACTCCTGACCTCAACTGATCCTCCCGCCTTGGCCTCCCAGAGTGCTAGGATTACTGGCATGAGCCACCACGCCCAGCCTTGCTTTACTTTTTGAATTCCTTTGTTCTAGATATCTCTTAAAAAGCATAGAGTTGTTTTTGTTTTTTTTTTTTTTTTTTGAGACAGAGTCTCACTCTGTTGCCCAGGCTAGAGTGCCATGGCGTCAGCCTAGCTCACAGCAACTTCAAACCTCAAACTTCTGGGCTCAAGCGATCCTCCTGCCTCCGCCTCCCAAGTAGCTGGGACTATAGGCATGCGGCACCATGCCCAGCTAATTTTTTCTATATATTTTTTGTTGGCCAATTAATTTGTTTCTATTTATAGTAGGTACGGGGTCTCACTCTTGCTCAGGCTGGTCTCAAACTCCTGACCTTGAGCGATCCACCAGCCTCGGCCTCACAGAGTGCTAGGATTATAGGCGTGAACCACCATGCTCGGCCAGCATATAGTTGTTATTTGGCTTTTTATTTATTTTTTATTTTTTTGAGACAGAGTCTCACTTTGTTGCCCAGGCTAGAGTGAGTGCCGTGGCGTCAGCCTAGCTCACAGCAACACTCAATCTCCTGGGCTCAAACGATCCTACTGCCTCAGCCTCCCGAGTAGCTGGGACTACAGGCATGCGCCACCATGCTGTATATATATTTTTAGTTGGTCAATTAACTTCTTTCTATTTTTAGTAGACACGGGGCGACGGGGGGGGGGGGGGGGGGCGTCTTGCTCAGGCTGGTTTCGAACTCCTGACCTCGACAAATCCGGCCAACTCAGCCTCCCAGAATGCTAGGATTATTTGGCTTTTTAAATTAAACTGAATCTTTATTCTTTCTTTTAATGGGTGAGTTTATCTGATATATGTTTATTGTTATGATACATTTTTTAAATCTTGATTCTGTCATCTTTGTTTCTTTCTTCTTCCGCCCTCCCTTTTTTAAAAAAAATTTATTTTCAATCTTTTATTGTGTGGTCTTTATTTTTTTTATTTTTTTTGAGACAGAGTCTCGCTTTGTTGCCTAGGCTAGAGTGAGTGCCATGGCATCAGCCTAGCTCACAGCAACCTCAAACTTCTGGGCTCAAGCAATCCTACTGCCTCAGCCTCCCGAGTAGCTGGGACTACAGGCATACGCCACCATGCCCAGCTAATTTTTTCTATATATATTATTTGGCCAATTAATTTCTTTTTATTTATGGTAGGGACGGGGTCTCACTCTTGCTCAGGTTGGTTTCGAACTCCTGACCTCCAGCCATCCACCCGCCTTGGCCTCCCAGAGTGCTAGGATTACAGGTGTGAGCCACCGTGCCCGGCCTATTGTGTGGTCTTTAAAAGAAATTTTGTTTCTGGTTCTTGTGGCCTACTGAGTATTTTGGAAGTAATATAGTATAGTGTATTTAGTTCTACTCAATATCTAAATGGTATTAATAAACCTATATTTTCTAATTTATCAACCTTAGACGCAAAATTAAGATACCACCTTTTGTCTTCGTCTACTACAATAAAAATATTGGTATTTTTACATTGTGGAGGCTTTACAATTTTTAAGTGAGAGTCTGTTTCATAGACTCTAGTTACCACCTACTTACCATAGTTAATGAAACTCAATTTGATATTTCCTTGGGTTAAATGCTTACTGCCAATCTTTTCATATTACAACTTCTCCATTAGAAAATTCTTTATATTAATTTATCTTTCATTGGGTAAATTAGGTCTATCACTAAATTTCTGCATTCAGTAAGGGTGCACAAATGTTATCATGTACTTAAGTTTGGCTTTTCTTTGTCTTTATGCTGCTTCATCATACCTCTTGCATCTAAGGCTTGAATCTCAGGCTTTTTCAGTTTTGCAAAGTTCTTAGCTACTAAAAAATATTTGTAAAGCAGCTTTTAGGTTTACAACAAATTTGAGTAGAAAGCACAGAGTTCTCATATACTCCCTGAACTATTAATTTCCAAATATCGTTTTTGCTCCATTATCTCTCTTCTTTCCTTCTGGGACTCCAGTTACTGTGTCCCATATGACTCTTGGCTCTTATAACCATTTTCTCTCCATGCTTCATTATGGATATTTTCAACAGACATTTCTTCAGTTGTTTCTAATCTGTTGTTATACCTGTTTGAGTTCTTTATTTTTTCTGTTCTAGAATTTCCATTAGATCTTTTTAAATATAACTTCTAGTTCCTGGCCCAAATTCTCCATCTTGTCATCTAATTTGTTGTGAATTCTTTTGTGAGGTCTGATGGAGACTGTCTTTGATTATCATTTCAATTGCTTTCATACTTACTGGTCTACTTAAATGATCTAATTTTTTGCCCAATTTTGATATTTTATTTTTCTGGGAATTTAACCATCATCAGATTTTTCACATTTATTAATGTATAGCAATTTGAATTGTTTTTGTTCTCCTTCCTCTTCTACTACTTTTTAATTTTTAAGGAAATTTACATTGACTTTTGCCTTTTGCCCTAGAGCATTACGAGCCCAAGATCACTCTACTTTTATTTTTAGTTTGGGGTTCCTGACTATACACAGTGGATATAAATTAAAACTGTAAACCAGTATAAGTATAGACTCATGGTTAAAATTCTCAGAGAAGGCTCTTTTTCCCACCTGGAGTCCAAACTTCTTCATCTGGTGGGCATATTTTTTTCACAGCTGACTTTCCACTGAGCATGTAGCACTTTGAGAATCCTGGCCTTTTTCCAGGGTCTCAATTCCAAATATACACTTTATGAGCCTTGTTTTTTGTCTCTAATTTGTTGTTAACCCAAATATCTTACTGACTGACACTGCAAATGATGTAGGGCACTGAAGTATCAGGTGACTTTCCCATTTAATTAATGGTCCATTATGGACATAAATTATTACATAATATATGACTAGGCATAAAATCAATTAAAAACTGTCTAAAGGCCAAAACAACCACTGTAGCTAGGGATATTCAGCTGAATAATAAACTGAGTTACTGAGTCATGAGCATATTCATGAACTCCCCACTAATTATTGTGTAGGCTCTTTTGATACACTCTCAGAGACTGATGTCCTGATTCAAAGAGAAGAAATAAATATTAGTTTTATTTGAAATGATAGCAAATGTCACTAATGCCTTTAAAATGACCTGGAGCACCTTTGCAAAAACCCCAGGAGTTAACTAACTACTAGTTGGAAAATACTGACCTACAGACTAAAATTTAAATTCCACTATTAGGCTTCCAGCTACCTTTTTGGTCTAATATCTCCCACTACTTAGCTAAAGTGCACATGACAATCATGATGTGATGATCTCAGTGATGTTCCTACTTGCCTGGAATACTCTTTTTTTTGGCATATTATGGGGGTACAGATTTTAAGGTTTCAATAAATGCCCTCTCCCCCCACAAGTCTGAGTTTCCAGCATGACCATCCCCCAGATGGTGCACATCTCACTCATTATGTATGTATATACCCGCTCCCCTCCCCCCTCGCACCTGCCCAATACCCTATTACTGTAGTACCTATGTGTCCACTTAGGTGCTGCTCAGTTAATACCAGTTTACTGGTGAGTATATGTGGTGCTTGTTTATCCATTCTTGGGATACTTCACTTAGTATTATGGGTTCCAGCTTGCTTGTTTATCCATTCTTGGGATACTTCACTTAGTAGTATGGGTTCCAGCTCTAACCAGGAAAATATAAGATGTGCTATATCACCGTTGTTTTTAGAGCTGAATAGCACTCCATGGTATACATATACCACATTTTATTAATCCATTCTTGGATTGATGGCCACTTGGGCTGTTGGAATACTCTTTATTCATCTAAAAATCTTCTGCTGATTCTTTGAACTCCAGTACAAAAAATGCAACTTCTTGAGTAATTCTTTCCTTCTCTCCTAGGAGGTTAATATATTATATACAGAGGCAGCCCTCTATATTCCCTAAAGTTTATCTCTGTTACAGCATTTACTTCATGGCACTTTATATTTAGAGAGCTGTTTTTCCTACTAGCATAAGTTCCTAAAAATACAGGGATCATATTTACCTTTGTAGTCCCAGCACCCTACACAATACCTAGAACTTAGTAAGTACTCAATAAATGATTCATGAATAAATGAATGAGGTGATAATTAATGATGTGGTTATGGATGCCAACTGTATCAATATCTGATACATAAGATGTATTAATATCTGATTTCCATAAGATGAGATGTGTGGTCAATAAAGGCTCTAACCTAGAACATAATCGGATTTTCTTTTTTCTTTGTGTGCTTTTCTAGGCTTCGAAGCAGCATAAATCGAAAAAGATCCAGAAGTACACAGGTCAGAAAGACCCTATCCTTTACTCTTCAGATCAGTTATGGGTCTGCTCTAAGACTTTATCCTTAAAGAGCAGGTGGAGGGAGGTTGAAAAAGAGGATGTAAGTGGAAGAAGAAAAAGTATGCCTATTCTTTTGAGCATTTCCACTTCCAAAGAGATGTACACAGCTCCATAATTATTTCCATGGTTCCTTTCCTCATCTCCTTTTGTGCAAAGGCCAAAGTATTGAGGAAGGAACTTGGTGAAATTGGAGAAGGAACAAAGGGTAACTACCAAGAGTTTGGTGAGGGAAGTTCCAGTATCCTTATTTCCCCACCATAGATTCTAGACAAACTCCTTTGGAGGAAAAGATAAATATCATGACCTCTGTTTTCCCTACTCCAGCTGCTTGTTACCATGATTATTCCTGCCCTTCCCAATGTATGTGTAACTTACATCTACTACATGATGAAGGAAGCATAGTATAGCTTTTTGAAAAAACTTTAGACCTAGCTTAAGTCTGAGCTCTACCACTAATTAGCTTTATGATCTTGGGCAAAACTTCATCTTTGTTTCCTTATTTGCAAAATGAGGAGATTGGACTAATGTTGCCAATAGTCATGATGCTAATGTATTCTTCACCCCTTCATCCAGCTCCACAGTGGGAAGACAACCTCAGGATGGGTTGCATTGGGTGAGTAAAGCCTGTCTTCAGCCAACTCTTTCTTTCTTCTGCCTATCCTACTGATACAATTCTGTAAAAGTTAGAAGTAAACTACCTGGTTGTTTTACTTCCTTCACCATGACAGCTTTCTCCTTTCTAAGTTATATCTCTCTTCTTACTGGTTTCCTTACTTGTACTTTAATATCACTTCAATTACACTGACATACTCTGTTGTATCCAGTGTTTCAGGACTCCCCGTGGGCTGGAGCCAGGAGTATATACTCTGGTCAATGGACAGGAGTCTTCAACAGATCTTCCGACACCTGGAAAGTGCAAGGTCAGGGAATACGGTTTCTGGGTGAGAGATTAAAGGTGGTTAAGAGGGAGGAAGAAAGGGGGGGATAAAGGAGAGAGAGAGGGAGAAGAGTTAGTTTTGTCAGTGAGATAAGTTCTGCGTTCAACTAATCTAAGGCTCACCTCTGAGTGGAATGAGAGCTGTTGCCTCCCTTTGTCCTGGTGGAGGAATTTTTTCCATAAGTAATTGATGTTGGGGAAAGCAACTTTTTCCCCCAACTCTCCCTCAGGCCAAAAATATTTTGCATTTGAAATGGCCACTCTCTTTCCTTTTCCTACTTTTCCTTTTCCTACTTCAAAGAAAATGGAAACTTTTCTCTTTATTTCTTAGATCAAGTCTTCTGGCAATGGGTTTGCCTGAATCACAGGATATAATTTCTTCCTCCACCTCCTCTGTTCTTGTGGCTCAGAAGGCTATTCTACCCCGTTGTGACTGTAAGAAGGAAAAACATTCTATTGACCACAGCAGCTCCTCTGGACCATCATGTATTAATTCCAGGCTGTCTCACCTTCCTGTCTTTTCTGAAGGAACAACCTGGCAATTCCGGAGCCATAGTTTACCTGTTTCCCCTAAAAAACAACCATTTGTGTTCAGGAACCAAGGCACCTCCCTGCCTCCTTTTCAGTTGTCAGAGCCTGAAAAATCAAAACTTTTTCAGAATTTGATAGATCATTCACCCTTACAACCTCAAAGCCCTTTTAGCAATTCTATTTTTGGACACCTAAATATCTACAAACAAGAGAAAACAAAAGGTGAGAGAAGGAGCAAGAGGCATTTGACATCAGATCATGGGCCAAATTCTGTTTCCAAGGAAAGACCACGACCCCCAAGGTCGGCTTCAATCCAGCTCTCTCCTCTGGCTAGGGGGGAGCTAGAAGGACATATGTCTTGGAAGGTTTGTACTTTGCGGAAACAAAAGGTGCCTCTGCCTGTAAGGGAATCATGGGCAATGCTGAATTATTTAATGGAAGTGCAAGGAGGATTCCCTGAACCAGAGAAACCCCAAAGCCAGTTATCTATGCCCATTTATCAAAGCACTGGACAAAATATCAACAATAAATCCCCAGACCTTCCATCATTTCAGCTCCATGTGAAAATTGGAGTGGAATCTGGATTAAATAGGACAGAAACAGAATTTTCACGGTCAGTTACCTCAGATAAGCAGTTACAACCTGTGGATGGCCCCCAAATCCTTGGATCCAAGCCTTTAGTTACATCAATGGACACTCCAACTCCCAGAAGTTTAGGAGTTAACATAATTCAAGAGGAAACCACTTTACTGAAGAAAGACCCCAAACATATGCTAGAGCTTGGTATAGAGCCGAGGGTCATAGGTCTTCCAGAAAAAAGGATACATCAGCATAAGACACAAACAACTAATGTGGAGTTGACCCCAGTGCAACCTTATCAAGTCACAGATAATATAAAGGTAACTCCATTGGCATTACTTCAGGTCATGGATTCAATGGGGATGATCCCAGATTCACATTCAGAAGTGATAGAATCTGTGGGTTTGTTCCCACAGCCACCAAATCAAGTTGTGCAACCAGTGGATGCCACAGAAACAGTGAGGGTAATGCCAATATCACCAAATCAAGTCACTGAATCAGTGGAGGTCACCCCAAGGCTTCAGCACCAAGGTTTGGAACCAAAGAGGATACCCTCAGGACTACTGAATCAAGTCACAGATAATGTGAAGGTAACTCCTGTAGCACTGCTTCAAGTCATAGATTCTATGGGAATGAATAACAAATCACATCCACATATAGAATCAATGAGAATGACCCCAACACCACAATATCAAGTCATGGAGTCAGTGAAGATTAACACATTGTTGGACCATGAAGCCATAAGACCAGAAAAGATGAGTCTAAGGCCACAACATGCAGTCATGGAAACTGTGGAAACTACCCCAGGACTGCAGCATAAAGTCATAGAACAGGTGAAGATTACTCCAGGGCCAAAACATCAAAACAAAAAATCACTGGAAATGATTTCAACACCATTGCATCAAGTTATGGATATCATAAAAATAACTCCAGTGGCACTATTACAAGCCATGGATTTCATGGGGATAATTCCACCAGCACAGCCACATGTTATAGAACATGGGGGTTTAACCCCAGGTTCACAGTTGCAAGATTTAAACACCATGGATTTGACCTCAAGAGCACTAATGGAAGATAAAATGCCTATGGATTTGGCCCCAAAGCCATGGTTACAAGATATCAGATCTAAGAAGATAGCCCCAGTACTATTGGTTGAAGATGTAAAAACTCCTCAAATGGTAGCATGTAGGAGATTAATTCCTGAGACACAGGTGCAAAGTATGAAATATGGAGAGTTGATCAAACAGACACAACTTCAAGTAATAAATTCTGCAGAGCTGAGCCAGAAACCAAATTATCAAGCCACAGAGACTGAAGGATTGACCCCATGGCATCAATCCTCAAAATCTTTAGGGATGATCTCGGGGCCAGGATATCAAGGAACAGAAGCAAAGTTGATATCTGACACTTGTCACCAAGTGGAAGAATCTATGGCGTTGAAACAATCATCTTTAGGGATTATTCCAGGGCCATTGAGCCAAACTTCAGAATCTATGGAGATGAGCTCAATGTCTTTCCAAGGCACTCCTGAGACAATGCACCATCTTGTAAAAGCAATGGGAGAAACTCCAGTGTCACAACACGTAATAAAAGAATCTCTGGATTTTAAACAAGGATCAGAGATACAAAGTGTGAAATCAGAGATGTTGACAGTGCCACTATCATATTCAGAAACAGGATCTTTGGAGTTGACTCTAGGACCAGAGATACAACATGAGAAATCAGAGCCACTACTGCAACATTTGAAATCTACGCAGTTAACCGGTGTGGCATCCCCATTAGTGGTAGGATCTGAAAAGTTAATTACAGGACCAAAACCATGTATTATGGACTTGACCCCAGGGCCACAGTTGCAAAGTGTCAGATTTTCAAAATTATCTCTAGGGCCACTTCTTCAAGGAGAAAAACCTGTAGATTTAATCTCAGGACCTTCACATTATGGTGTGAAATCTGATGAATTAACCTCAGATTCCCCAACACAGGAAATCAAATTGTCATATTTTACTCCAGGGTCAAAGCATCAAAATGTCAAATCTGTACAGTCGACTCCAGAACCACAAACTCAAAGTGTGAAACTTGTGGAACTAAACCCAAGACCGTGCTTGCAAGATGTCAAATTTTCTGATTTGATCCCAGAGCCAAATCTTCAAGATCTCAAACATGTGGAGTTGATTCCAGGAGTTCAGCTTGAAGATATAAATTCTCTAGAGTTTGTACCAGAGTCATCTTTGCAGTTAAGTCAAGGGCCATGTGTAGAAGTTTTGAAATCTGTTCTATCCATTGAAGAATCACAGTTTCACAGCAAGAAGTCTGTGAATTTGACCTCAGAACTACAATTTCAAGACATGAAATCTGAGGAAGTAAACCTAGGGCTATGGCAGCAAGATGGCAACTTTTCTGAATTGACTTCAAGGCCAAAGCTTCGAGGTGTCAAATTTGGGGAATCAACCCCTGGATCAATGTTTCATGGTGTGAATTCTGTGGAGTTGGCTCCAGAGTTAGGCCTGCAAGATTCCAAATTAGCAAATATATTTCCAGAGCTTCAAGGTATGAATCAGGTAGGGCTTAACCTACAGCCATGGCTACAAGATGTCAAAATTATTGATTTAACACCAGGAACTCAACCTCAAGGTATGAAATCTTCAGAGTTAAATTCAGGGCCTCAGCTACAATGCGTAAAATTTTCTGAGTTGATCCCAGGGCCAAAGACACAAGGGGTAACATCTATGGAGATGGCCCCAGAGCCAGAGGGGAAAGGGGTTAAGCCTGAGTTATTAGTACCAGAGCCTCTGTTTCAAGGTGTAAAGTATGTAGCAGGGAACCAAGGGCCAATGTTAGAAGTTGAAATTTCTTGTAAATTAGTCTCAGAGCCACAGATACCAGATGCAGAATCTATGGAGTTGACGCCTGGGCCACAGTTGCCAGGTGTAAACCATTCTGAGTTGACCAGAAAACCACAGTTGCAAAGTGTGAAATCTTCTGAGTTGATCCAAGGGTCACAGTTGCAAGATGTAAATCTGGTGAAGTGGACCCCCTTCAATCTTCAAGGTTTAAAATCTGAGATGCTGATCCCAGAGCCACAGCTAGAAGATATGAAGGCTTTGGAGTTAACTCAAGGGTCACATTTGGGAGGTATGAAGTCTATGCAATTAAAACCAAAGCCAGAATTGGGAGATGTCAAATCTATGGGATTAATCCCAGAGCCACAGGCACAAGGTGTGAAATCTGGGGAGCTAACAGCAGGCTCAAAGCTTCAAGGTTTAAAATCTGAATTGCTGACCTCAGGATCAGAGTTGGAAGATATGAAATCTGTGGATTTAACTCTAGGACCATGCCTGAAGAGTATGAAATATGTGGAGATAACCCCAAGTCCACAGCTGGAAAGTGGGAAATCTGTGGAGAAAACCTTGGGTTCACAGATAGAAGATGTTAAATCTGTGAAAATTACCCCTGATTCCAAGCTTAAAAGTGCAAAATCTATGGAGTTGACTCCAGGTTTAAGCATTCAAGATTTAAAAACTGGGCAATTCATACCAGGTACACAGCTGCACGATTTGAAAGCTGTGGAATTAAAATTTGGGCTAAAGATGGAAGGTGAGAAGTCTATCGCTTTTGCACCAGGTCCATTGTTTCAACATGTTAAATCTATGGAAGTGCTTCAAGGACCTCATCTACAAGATGTGAAACCCGAGGAAATAACTTCAGAGCCACAAATGCAAGATATGAAATTTGTGGAGATTATCCCATGTTTAAAGCTTCAAAGTTTAAAATCTGTAGAGGAGACTCCAGATTCACAGCTGCAATGTGTAAAATCTGTGAAGATGATCCCAGGGCTAAAGAGGCCAGTAGTAAAATCTGTGAATGTACCCAGAAGACAAGAGTTTGAAGGTGTAAAATCTGTGGATTTAGCTCCAAAGCAACAGTTTCAAGGGATGACACCTGTGGATTTATCTCCTGGGCCTGAAGAGGAAGGTCAGATATCTATAAACACACCAGAGCAGCAATGTGTGAATTTATGGCAATTGAAGAGAGGGTCTGAGCCAGAAGATGTAATGTCTTTGGAATTAATTCCAGAGTCAAAATCTGAAGATGTAAAATCTATAGACCTCAATTCTGACCTACAGTTGAAAGGTATGAAATCATTTGAATTGACTCCAGAACCAAATATGCAAGATGTAAAAGCTAAAGTGTTTGAATATAAGCCACAGTTGCAAAGTATGGAATCTCCTAAATTGACCCCAGGACCACAGCTGCACCAAGTGAAATACCTGGGATCAGCCTCAAAGCCAGAGCTTCAAAGTATGAAAACTGTGGAGTTAAACAAAGAGCCAGAGCTTGGCAGAATGAAATCTCTTCAGTGGATACCAGGTCCTGAGTTCCAAGGTGTGAAATCTCTAGGGTTAAATCTTGGATCACAGTCTCGAGGCTTCAAACCTGCAGAATTGAAACCTTCAATGCAGTTTGGAGGTGTGAAGTCATTTGAATTCACTCTAGGGCCAAAACTTCAAGGTGCAAAATCCATGGAGTTTAACCTTGGGCCACAGTCGCAGTGTGTGAAAACATCTGAGTTGTCCCCAGGAGCACAGCTGCAAAGAGGGAAAATTCTGGTGTCAACCTTAGAGCCACAGCTTCAAGGTGTGAAAACTATGGAGTTAAACCAAGAGCCACAGCTTGGAAGTACAAAATCTGTGCAGTGGATACCAAGGTCTGAATTCCAAGGTGTGAAATCTACAAGGTTAAATCTTGGGTCACAGTCTGGAGGTTTTAAACCTGTACAATTGAAAACTTCAACGCAGCTTGGAGGTGTGAAATCATTTGAATTGACTCTAGGGCCAAAACTTCAAGGTGTAAAATCTATGGAGTTTAACCTTGGGCCACAGTTGCAGTGTGTGAAAATGCCTGAATTGTCCCCAGAACCACAGTTGCAAAGAGGGAAAATTCTGGTGTCAACCTCAGAGCCACAGCTTCAAGGTGTGAAAACTGTGGAGTTAAAACAAGATTCACAGCTTGGAAGTAGGAAATCTCTTCAGTGGATACCGGGACCAGAGTTCCAAGGTGTGAAATCTCTAGGGTTAAATCTTGGGTCACGGTCTCGAGGCTTCAAACCTGCAGAGTTGAAACCTTCAATGCAGTTTGGAGGTGTGAAGTCATTTGAATTCACTCTAGGGCCAAAACTTCAAGGTGCAAAATCTATAGAATTTAACCTTGGACCACAGTTGCAGTGTATGAAAATGCCTGAGTTGTCCCCAGGAGCACAGCTGCAAAGAGGGAAAATTTTGGCATCAAGTTCAGAGTCACAGCTTCAAGGCATGAAAACTGTGGAGTTAAACCAAGAGCCACAGCTTGGAAGTATGAAATCTGTTCAGTGGATGCCAAGATCAGAGTGCCAAGGTATAAAATCTGTGCTTAATCTTGGTTCACAATCTCAAGGTGTCACAACTGTAGAATCGAAATCCTCTATAATACAATTAAGAGATGTGAAGACATCTGAGTTGACTCCAAGGCCAAGGCTCCAAGGTATACAACCTTCGGCATCACTCCGGGAGCATCAGCTTCAAGGGTTCAAACCTATTGATTTGAAACCTGGGCTACAGTTGAGAAGTATGAAATCATGTGACCCAATTTCAAGGACAAAGCTCTGTGATATAAAATCTATGGCATTCAAATCTGGGCTTCATTTACAAGGTGTAAAATCTTCTGAGTTGACCCCAGGACCACAGTTGCAAAAAGTGAAAACCTTAGAGTTATCCCCAGGAACACAGCTTCAAGATGTGAAATCTCTAGTGTTTACACAAGAGCCACAGATTTCAGAGGTGAAATCTAGGGTATTAAGCCAAGGGCAACAATTACAAAGTGATAAAACTGTAGAGGTGAACTTCCTACTGCACTTGAAAAGTATGAAACCATCTGCATTGGCTACTCAGACAGAGCTTGAAGATATGAAATCTGAGTTCAACTCTGGGCCACACAGGCAAAGTGTCAGATCTTCTAAGTTGATACCTAAGACAGAGTCCCAAGATATGAAATTTATTGAGTTAAACCCCAGCTCACAATTAAAAGAGATACCATTTTCTGACTTGACCAAGAGGACCAAGATTCGAGATGTGAAATCTATAGGTTTCAAATCTGGGTCACAGTTGCAAGGTGTGAAATCTTCTGAGTCCATACTGAGGACAAAGCTTCAAGAAGTGAAATTGGTGGAATTCAATTCAAGCTCACAGTTGCAAGATGTGAACTCTTCTAAGTTGGTTATGGGTATGAAGCTTCCAGATGTAAAATCTATGGATTTCAGTTCTGGGCCATACTTGCAGGGTATGAAATCTTCTGAAGTAATACCAGGGGAAAAATTTGAAGGTGTGAAATCTGTAGAATTTAAACCTAGTCCAAAGTTACAAGGTGAAAAGTGTGATTTGACTCTTAGGAGGAAGTTTCCAGGTGTGAAATCTGTAGAGCTGGACTCAGGCCCACAGTTACAAGATATAAAACCTTCTGATTTGCTCATGAGTATAAAACTTCAAGATGTAAAATCCAAGAAGTTCAGTTATGGACCATACTTTCAAGGTATAAAATCATCTGAGGTGATCTCACGCACAAAGCTTCAAGGTGTGAAATTAATGGGCTTCAATTCTGGATCAGAGATACAAAGTGAAAAATCTTCTGAGTTGATTCAAGGAACAAAACTTCAAGAAGTAAAATCTGTAGAGTTCAACCATGGTCCAAAGTTACAATGTGTAACATCTTCTAAGTTAAGACAAGAGACAAAGCTTCAAGGTGGGAAATCTGTAGAGTTCAACTCAGGCCCACAGTTGCAAGATATGACATATTCTAACTTGATCTTGGGAACACAGCTTCAAGATGTAAAAGCTATGGAGTTCAAGTCTGGATCACACTTACAGGATATGAAATCTGAAGTGATCCCAAGGACAAAGCTTCAAAAAATGAAATCTCTGGAGTTCATGCCTGTGCCAGTATGGCAAGATGTGAAATCTTTCAAATCGACTCTAGGAACAAAGGTACAGGATAGGACATCTTTGGGGTTCAACTCACCTCCACAGTTACAAGATAAGAAATTATCTATGTTGACACCAGCAATAAGCCTTCAAGGTGTGAAATCTATGGGATTCAAGCCTGGGGCAAAGTTGCAAGGTGTGAAATCTGAGTTGATAAAGCTTCAAACAATGAACTCTACAGACTTTACAGACATCAACCCTGACTTAGAATTGCAGGTTGCAAAACTCTCTAAGTTGGCCTTGGAATCAAAGATTCACGATGTGGTACCTTCTGAGTTCAGTGGTGGAAAGCAGCAGCAAGATGAGAAATATCATAAATTGAACCCACGGCCAGAGCATCAAAGTGTAAAATTTTTGGTGTTTAGTCCTGGGCCACATTTGCAACATAGAAAATCTTCAAAGTTATGCACAGGGACAAAGCCGCAAGATGTGAAATCTATGGAATTCAATTCTGAGCAACAGTTGCACGATGTGAAATCTGAGTTATGCCTGGGAACAAGGCTTCAAGATACCCAATCTTTACAGTTCTATGCTGGGCCACAGTTGCAAAGAATAAAATCTGAGTTGTGCACAAAGACAAAGCTTCCAGATGAGCAATCACTAGAATTCAAACATGAGCCTAAATTGCACAGTGGGAAGTCCTCTGAATTGAATCCAGGGCCACAGATTCCGTGTAAAAGTATTATGGCATTAAACACGGGACCACAGTTACAAGGTATAAAATCTTCTGAGTTGAATCCTGGGCCAGAGCTTCAAGATATAAATTCTAAAGTGTTCTGCCTTGGACCACATTTGCAAGGTATGAATTCTTCTGCACCCATTGCTGGGCCACAGCTTCAGTGTGTAAATTCTCTCAGGTGCAACTCTGGGCCACATTCACAAGGTGTGAATTGTTCTGCATCCATTCCAGGGCCACGAGGTCAGTGTGTAAATTCTCTTGGGTGCAACCCTGGGCCACATTCACAAGGTGTGAATTGTTCTGCATCCATTCCAGAGCTACAGCTTCAGTGTGTAAATTCTACTGGGTGCAACCCTGGGCTGCATTTGCAAGGTGTGACTTCTGCATCTGTTCCAGGGCCACAACTTCAGTGTGTAAATTCTCTTGGGTGCAACCCTAGGCCACAGTCACAAAGTGTGAATTCTTCTGCATCCATTCCAGGGCCACAAGTTCAATGTGTAAATTCTACTGGGTGCAAGCCTGGGCCACATTTGCAAGGTATGAATTCTGCATCCATTCCAGGGCCACAACTTCAGTGTGCAAATTCTACTGGGTGCAACCCTGGGCTGCATTCACAAGGTGTAAATTGTTCTGCACCCATTCCAGGGCCACAATTTCAGTGCGTAAATTCTCTTGGGTGCAACCCTGGGCCACATTTGCAAGGTATAAATTCTTCTGCACCCATTCCAGGGCCACAACTTCAGTGTGTAAATTCTCTTGGATGCAATCCTGGGCCACATTTGCAAGGTGTAAAATCTTTTGAATTGATTTCAGGGACAAAATTTCAAGGTATGAGATCTTCTGAGTTGCATCCAAGGCCAGAACTTCAGGGTATCAAATCTGTGCAACATTTCCAAGACATAAAATGTAAATTGGTTCCAGGAACAAACTTTCCAGGCAAAATGCCAATGGATTTAAACTCTGGCCCACAGATGCAAAGTATGAATTCTTCTGAGTTGAATTCAGAGTCAAAACATGAATGCAGAAATTCTATAAAGTTTAATTCAGGGCCACTGATACTGGACATGAAACCATCTGAATTGAACCCTGGGTCAGAATCTCAAGTTACAAAATCTATTCTGTTCAACCCTGGACCACACTTGCAAGGTATGAAATCTTCTGAGTTAACTCCAGGGACACAGTTTCAAGGAGTCCAATTTTTGGGGAACCACCTTGGGTCACAGCAGCAAGTTATACAACCTGTGTTTGCTTTGGGTCCTCAGTTAAATGCTGTAAAATCTGTGGTATTTTTACCAGAGCCACCATTTAAAGATGAAAAGTCTGGGGAGGTGAACAAACCACCATTGCTTTGTGGTGCAAATTCTGTGAAATTGATTTCAGGCTCTGAGCAATGGGACTTAAAATGTGAGGCATTTACATTGGAACCATGTTCTCAAGATATGAAATCTGTGAAGTCAAACCCATGGCCACAACCTCAAAGCATGAATTCTTTAGGGTTGACATCATGTCTTGGGTCACAATGTGTTGAATCTGTGGTCTTTCCACCCAAATCATATTTTCAAGATATAAAACCAGTGGCACTAACAGGAGAGTCCCAACAGCAAGGCATGAATTGCCAAGAATTGACTTTAGGACGGGAAGGTGTGAAATCAACAGTGTTGGCATCAGAGCCAACTAGGAAGTTCCTACCAGGACCAATGTTGACTAGTGTCAAGTTTTCAAATTTGTCTCCAGAATCACAGCAACAAGGTGTGAAATCTTTGGGGTTTACTTCAGAGCCAAAGTTGCAAAGTATAAAACATGTGAAATTGTCTTCTGTATCTCTGCAGCAAACTATAAAATCTGTAGAGTTAGCACCAGGGTCATTGTTTCAAAGAGTGAAATGTGGGCAGCAAAATCCAAGAACAAGTTATCAAATCATGGAATCCTCTGAAATAATCCCTAGATCAGGGCATCCATTTGTAAAATATGCTGAGATGATCCCAAAGCCAAGACATCAAATCCCTGAATCTGTGAATTTGATTTCAGTACCAATTTACCAAGCCACAGAATCTATAGAAATGGCACAAGGGTTGGCACATAAAGGCCCAGAAACTGTAGAGAAATCTTTGGGGTTGACCCCAAAACCACTGGTGACAACTCCTGGCCGTATTTGTAAAGTTATGGAATCTTTAGGGTTGCCTCTGAAGCTAGATCTTCAAGTCCCAAAATTTGTTGATCTGATTCCAGTACTAAAGGATCAAGTCTCCAAATCCTTAGAATTAACTCCAGAGAAAAGCTACCGAACCCCAGAAACCCTGGAATTGCTCTCTCAGTCATGGCCACAAGTTAAGGATTTGGGGCAGTTATATACAAGGCCACTGCAAAAAATTGTGGAATCTGAAGGGATTACCCTGGAGCTCAAGCATCACATTACAGAAGCTCTGGAGCTGACCTCTGAGGCAAGGCTACAAGAGAAGGAATTCCTTGGAATGACCCCAACAGCAATAAGTCAAGCTACTGGATTTGCAGAGAGATCTCCAAGGCTCTATCCCCAAGATTTAGAATCTATGGAAGTGATCTCTGAGAAAAGACTGCAAAGGGAAGAATCTGTAGTATTGATTCCACAGTCATTATATCATATCCCAGATTCTACTTCAGGGATGACACCAGGGCTAGGGCATCAAGTTCCTAAATCTGTGGAGCTGACTTCTAAGATGGAGCTACAAATGGAGGAACCTATGGAATTGACCCCAAAACCACAATATCATGTGAGATCTTCAGGGATAACACTAGGGTTAAGACACCAAGTCCCAGAATCTGTAAATTCAGTCTCTGAGCAAATGGAGGACGCTTTAGAATTATCCCCAAAGCAAACAAGTCCAGTTGTAGGACATGCAGAATCAGTAGAGCCCACCTCTAAGATATGGCAGCAAAAGGAGGTATCAATGGGGCTAACACAGTCAGAGAATCAAAGTATGAAATACTCAGAGATGGCACCAGGACCACTGGGTCAAATTATAGAATTTAGGAGGGTTAGTCCAAAGCCACTAAATCAAGTCACAGAATCTGCAAGGACACAGCTTCAAGTTTCTCATTCAGTAAGGGTAACCCCAGTAAATGCCCCAAAAGTTGTTGAATCTGTGAAAATGACCTCTGGGTCACCACTTCAAGTTGTGAAGTCTGTGACAACACCAGGACCAACTCCTCAAATGTTAGAATATGTTGAATTGACTCCACAACTGCAAGATGTGAGATCTTCGGAGTTTACCTCAAGGCTATGGTCGCAAAATATAAGATCTAAGAAATTAATCACAGAGCCAACACATCAGATTTTGGAGAAAATGGAGTTGAAAGGGTTTCAAATTGTAAAGACTATGTTAATCCCAGAGCCATCCTTTCAAATCGTAAAATCTGAGGAGTTAGCACCAGGACCAATTCCTCAGGTTGTAGAACCACTAGGAGTAGCCTTAGGATCCGCAATTGAAGTAATGGATTGTTTGGATTTACTCCCAAGGCCACATCTTCAAGAACTGGTGGAACCTGTAGAATTAACTCCAAGACCAAATATTCAAGTTAAATCTGAAGAATTAACCTCACAACAAACATTTTCATTTGAGGAACCTACAGTATTGACTCATACACAAGGGCTTCAGGCTGTGAAATCTATAGCGATAAAAACAGAGCTTCCCAAAGTCATGAAATCTGAGGATTTGAATCTAGGACAAGTGTGTCAAAATAGGGAATCTGAGGAGTTAACATCAGAAGAGTTACAAGTAGGGACTAACTTCTCTAGGTTCCTACACAGATCTTCAACCCCATTCATTTCAAGCTCTGTCAAAACAACATCTGAATCAGAGGGACTTTGGGATTTTTGCATGCCAGGAGTATCAAGAGTTTTGGATAGGAAAAACCTTGGGACAGATATTTTGCAGCCCAAAGACCCTATTATGATACAGTCTTCAACTCTTCCCTTGGGCCTTCATAGTCAACCCTCTGATAAGATAACAAATACTGTGGAAACCCCACATCCTGAGATCCCAGGAGTGGATGCCATATCTAAGGAGAAGACTAAGAGGAAGCAGATGGAGGAGCTAGAGAACTCACTCCAGAGTCATCCACCACAAAGCTGGTCACCACCCAGGACATTCCAGGCAGACTCAGGGGCTGGAAGAGGCCTTATCAGGTCTTTCCTGGGTAGAAAACAGAATGTCTGTGGGAGTCGTGCCTGGAGGCAGCGATTACCTAGAAAATATCTCTCCTCTATGCTAATGCTGGGGAATGTCTTGGGGTCCACTATGGAAAGGAAGCTTTGTTCTCAAACTTCTTTATCAGAAAGAACTACTGCAGATACCTGTCAATCTATTCAGCATTTATTTGGGGTTCCAGCTGAACTGATGGAATTTTCCCAGAGCCTGCTACAGAAAGGCCCATATACTATTTCTCAGTCTTCAGTGATCAAAAGCTACATTCAAAGACATACTTTGTGTCATAGTCATGAGAAAAGAATGGCCTTAAGGATGTGGACACGAGGCTCCACATCTTCTATAATACAGCAATACACTGGAACTAAAGTGGGAATAAGGAAAACAAACCCAATGCTCAGTGATATATCTCAGAAAGTCATTCAGCACATGCCTATGTCATGTGCAGGGGGCCAGCTTCCTGCCTCAATAAAGTCAGAGTCTTCCCTCAGGATACTTTACAGTAGGGAAGATCCTGTTCTAATGGAAGAGCCTGAGAACTCACAGAGTGATTCACAGACAAGGATTTTTGAGTCCCAATACTCCCTCAAGCCAAGCTGTCTTTCCCAGGCCAAGACTGACTTCTCAGAACAGTTTCAGTTGCTACAAGATCTGCAGCTAAAAATAGCAGCAAAACTCTTAAGGAGTCAAATGCCCCTCAATGTGCCTCCACCTCTAGCTTCAGGTCTGGTCCTAAAATACCCTATCTGCCTACAGTGTGGCCGATGTTCAGGATTTAATTGCTGTCACAAATTACAGGCCACCTTTGGGCCTTATCTTCTTATCTATCCACAGCTCCACCTTGTAAGCACTCCTGAAGGACATGGAGAGATTCGGTTGCATCTTGGCTTTAGGTTACGAACTGGGAAAAGACCCCAGATCACAAAGTATCGTGGAAGAGACAGACCCATCATACCAAGGAGCCCTGTATCACCATCACAAAGGAAAGCTAAAACCTATACTCAAGCTTTCAAGAGTCCTACTCCCACAAAAGATTTTCAGTCTGGGTCTCCCCAGTTTCCTGCTCCTGTCCAAGTCCATATCAGGCGGAGGCAATATGCCAGCCCTGACTTAGTAGAAAAGACAGAAATTGGAGACCCCGGGCACCATGAATTCATTCAAATTCACGCTCCACCTGAGAGTGACTCTGAAAGCAATCAGGATGAAAAATGGGCTAAAGTGAGAACCAAAAAGACCTCTGATTCAAAATATCCAATGAAGAGAATCACCAAGGGACTTAGTAAACAAAACACAAAATTCTACATAAACAGTAGAACCACAATAGAGAGTTCCTGTCGGGAATTACCATCTCATTTAAGAAGGAAGAGAGTTGGAGCATCTCAGACAAGTACTGTCTCTTTAAAAAGACAACCTAAGAAATCCTCCCAACCCAAGTTCATGCAACTGCTTTTTCAGGGCCTAAAGCAGGCATTCCAAACAGCACACAGAGTTATAGCTTTTGCTGGGCAGAAGCCCGAGGACAGGGCAAGGCTGGACAATTTGTCAAGCAAAGACTACCATCCGAAACAAAAAGCCATGGACTATTGCTCCTCAGGAGATATCAAAAGAGACAGGTTGTCAATTGCCAAGCTAAGGACAACAGGCTCAACCACTAAGCATGAGGACATATTGTGGGGAGGAACAGACCAATGTAGATCAGCTCAACAGCCAAAAAGAGAGAGCTCTTTCCAACCCAGATCTCTCCAACGGCGCAAGCCCACAGGTTCCCAAACTAGCTCAGGTGGGCAGTCTTTGGGTACAGTTCAAAAGGATAGCAGCCACAGAGCAAAGGAAATCTTTTACAGAAATGAAGTCTCCATCAAAAAGTCTAAGAGCTTGTCCAAACCAGGAGCCATAGTTCAGCCCCAAGGGAAAATCCTACCCAGTTCCCTTATGAAGAGAACCAGGCACAGTCACAGTAAAGAGAAACTTACACACAAGGAGCGAAACCACTATAGCTCGTATTGGGAAAGAAACCCAGGTAATCCCTCTGAGAGGAATCCTTGCAGTCCCTCTAGGAGAAACCCTCTCAGCCCCTCTGAGAGAACCATTCACACTCTCTTTGAGAGGAGTCCTCGAAGTCCCTCTGGGAGACACCACCGCAGCCCCTCTCAGAGAACCATTCACAGTCTCTTTGAGAGGAGTCTTCGCAGTCCCTCTGGGAGAAACCATCGCAGCCCCTCTCAGAGAACCATTCACAGTCTCTTTGAGAGGAACCCTCGCAGCCCCTCTGAGAGAACCCTTTGCAATCTCTCTGAGAGGAGCCCTCGCAGTCCCTCTGTGAGATCCCTTCACAATCTCTCTGAGAGGGGCCCTCGCAGTCCTTCTGTGAGAACCCTTTGCAATCTCTCTGAGAGGGGCCCTCGCAGTCCTTCTGTGAGAACCCTTCGCAATCTCTCTGAGAAGAGCCCTCGCAGTCCCTCTGTGAGAACCCTTCGCAATCTCTCTGAGAGGAGCCCTCGCAGTCCCTCTGTGAGAACCCTTCGCAATCTCTCTGAGAGGAGCCCTCGCAGTCCCTCTGTGAGAACCCTTCGCAATCTCTCTGAGAGGAGCCCTCGCAGTCCCTCTGTGAGAACCCTTCCCAGTCTCTCTGAGAGGAGCCCTCGCAGTCCCTCTGTGAGAACCCTTCCCAGTCTCTCTGAGAGGAGTCCTCGTAGTCCCTCTGGGAGGAGACATGACAGACCCTTGGAGAGGAGCTGCCACAGTCGCTCTGAGGGGAGTCATCACAGTCCCTCTGAAAGGAGACGTCACAGATCCTCTGAGAGAAGTCACAGACCCTTGGAAGGGAGCCGACGCAGTCACTCTGAGAGGGGCCATCTCATTCAATCTGAGAGAAGCCCACGCAGTCATTCTGAGAGGAGCCCACCCAGTCCCTCAGAGAAGAGCCATCGCAGTCCCTCTGAGAAGAGCCATCGCAGTCCCTCTAGGAGGAGCCATTGCAGTCCCTCTGAAAGGAGCCCACGCAGTCATTCTGAGAGGGGCCATCGCAGTCCCTCTGAGAGGAGCCGACGCAGTCATTCTGAGAGGAGCCATCGCAGTCCCTCTGAGAGGAGCCATCGCAGTCCCTCTGAAAGGAGCCCACGCAGTCATTCTGAGAGGGGCCATCGCAGTCCCTCTGAGAGGAGCCGACGCAGTCATTCTGAGAGGAGCCATCGCAGTCCCTCTGATAGGAGCCGACGCAGTCACTCTGAGAGAACCCATGACAGTCCCACTAACAGAACCTCTCAAAGTCCCTCTGAAAGGAGTCGACACAGTCCCCCTAAGGAGAGACTCAAGCACAGTTCCCCTCGGGAAAGGCCCAGGCATACTTTATCTCAAGATTTCAAGAGTTACTACTCAAACATGTCTCCTGCGGATCACACAAGACAATCCAAAAGCAGGGCAAGTTTGGAGGCCTGAAGCTAGCAGATGAGGCGAGATGGGCCCCTGTTATCGTCTCCCTCAAGTCTTCACCTAGCTGCCCTTTCTTGGATACTCCCTGAGCAGCCACTGCCTCCAATTACTGCGCCCTCAGCAATGAAAGGCTTCTACATCTCTCTACCTGGGGTGGGGGGTGGGGGGCAAGAATGGGTCTGTAATTTCTCTAAGATCAATAAAGGGGCAATAACTGATCTCGATGTGCATCTAGAAAGACCACTGGCCGGGTGGGCGCAGAAGGGAGGCTGGAAGGACACAAAGTGGGGTGCAAAGAGTTGGAACAGGAGGCAGAGAGGTTTCAAGGCCGGGCTAAGGCTCCAAACTCCGCCCCTTCTCTCCAGAGTCCACCCGCGGCTCCCAGGTCGCGCACTACCATTGGGGAGTCGGGGGGCGGGGTCTCAGAGGAATCGAGGGTGGCTCGTCACGTGACTCCCTCCGGCCGCAGCCCCCTCGGAAGCTGCTAGGCGGAAGTAGACGTTCAGAAGAGGTCTAGGCGGGGCCGAGCGCACATCCGGGAGAGGAAAGGAGAGCGGAAGTGGCGTTGATCTGGCCGGAGCCCTTGGGTGAAATTGTTAGGCGTGGAGAGGGAGTGATGTCTTCCAGACTTGGTGCAGTACCCGCTGTGAGTTTCTTGGTTTGACCGTTATGCTTTAGAGGTAGCGCTGTGGAGCCCGGAACACGCGGTCCCTCGCTTTTGTCCCTTGCTCAGAGTTGGCTTTATCAGAGCCCATCGTAGGCCCCACCCTTCTAGATCAGATCACCTGTCCCCTTTTTCTTTTCCACTTTCTGCTGCTGTTCCTCGCCAGATTGCCATTAATTTCTATTCCTTCTACATTGCCAGTGCCGTTGTTTTTTCTTTTCACCTCCCCTTTAGACCCTCTATCTGGTACAGGGCTTTGGAGAATGGGGGAAGATGAAGGCTCTTGTATTGTTAACCGCCTTTACAGTGTAGGAAGATAGAACGTAGGTACGCCTTTACTAAAAAGTATTGCCTTCTTCCGTTTGAGGTAGTGGCCCTGGGAGAGCGTCATTTCTTCTGGGCACAGGGGGAATTCGTCTTTTTGTGGTCGAGGTTTAGGAGTTCCTAGCACTCATTTGTGTGCTTGTGATTTGTTAGACTCCGGGACCCACATCCTTTAAGCAGCAGAGGAGCTCGAGGATCGTGGGAGCTAAGAAGTAAGTGAGGTTTTTCTGAAGTCCGTTTATAATTGTGTCGCCAGCGCTGTCCAGTAGGACTTCCTGTGATGATGAAAATGTTCTGTATCCGTACTGTCCAGTATCATGACCACTACCCCCCTGTGACTTTTGAGCACTTGAAATGTGGCTAGTGCGACTGAGGAACTGGTATTTAAATTTCAGTTTTAACTAACTTTAAATAGCCACCTGTAGCTAGTGGCTACTGGATCGGACAGTGCAGGTCTAAATCTAGTGTGGGGTTGAAAAACCTAGCTTGCAAAAAAGAAAGTACAAATTATAATAAAAATGGAACGTATGAGTCAGTGGTAGTCCTGCATTTCTTTAGATAACAAATTTGTGCTCATAAATATATTGATGAACTTGTGAAGGACAATAAAAATGGCTGTAAGAAATCCTTGTATTTTCAAATTACTTGGCTGCAAGACAGGTTTATTATTTTGGGCACTGAACGTGCTAAGTTTTTCCATGGTTAATACAAAAGAGAAGATTCTTGTTGACTAGAAACTGCCATTACATGGATTCATTTATTCAGATGACATTTACTGATGACATTTACATAAATGTCTGCTATGTGCCAGCTGTGTAGTAGGTTAGATATACAGACATGAAAAACAGAACTAGCAGTCTCAAAGAGGAGATAGGCAAGTAGATCAACACAATACAGTGTAATAAGTAAATATTTTAAAATGGGAATTTAATATAGCCTTTGGGGAAAAGGAGTGAAAGTTTGAAAGGGAAGGATTACTAGAACAGATCACTCCTAAGCAGAGACTTGAAAATTGAGGATTAATGCAGTTAGCTGGGTGGAGAAGGCATTTTTCAGGAGAGAGAAAAGCATGTGAACATGTAAAAGAAGTTAATGGGCTAGCAAGTAGTTTTATATATAACTGGCATGGAGGATGGGAATTGCAGGGAGATCGTTTAGAGAGGTTAGCAGGGGCATGCTAAGGTGTTTGGATTTTATCCTAGAAGGGTTTTAAATGAGGGAATGACATAGCCAGATATTGGTCTTAGGTCACTCTGGCAGCATTATGAAGGATAGATTTGGAAGGGTACTGGAAAAGTGGTTCAGAGGTTATTACAGTAACCTAAGAGACAAATGAAGGATGGCCAATGGTGGTAACAATATTTTGGGAATATACAAGTTGTGATGATGAGAGGTAAATAAGAGGAAGATAGAGTCTCTGCCTTTGGCAACCAGGTAGATATTGGAGTCATTCACTGAACTAGGAATTTCTGGATGACGAGCAACATTTGGAGGAAACTTAAGTGGGTTTGGACCACAGCTGAAGAGCTGGTCTGAAATACAGAATTAAGAATCATCAGCTATAAAAGGAATTAGAAACATCATATTTTCTTCCACAAGATGAGAGTATTCATGAGATAATGAGGGAGAGTTTCTCAATGTGTACCTTGGTCACTTAGGGATAATTGTTTAAAAACATAAAGATTAATGGGCCACATTTATTAGTCAGAATCAGAATAATTAGGGTTAGGATGTGGGAATCCTTATTTTTAACCAGTTTCCTAGAAAATTGTGAAGTTTGAGAACTGATGCTGAGAAATGAGACTAGAAAAAAGTAGAGGAGGAAACCATGGAGAACCCCAGCTTTTAAAGATTAGATAGAATTAAATAAGTCTGCAAAGGATAACAAGATGAACTAAAATAGTTTTCGAATGAAACGTAAATATTTTCACCTAGAAGAATGAACTAGGGGTTCTTAAAATTCTTGGTAGGTTAGAAAGGAGTTGAAAATAGGCTAAACTTTTTATCTTTGTCATGAGATGCTGAGACTTGCCACATTAGTGACAACAAATTATAAAGTCACTACAATTAACATAGTCATTGTATCATAACAAAGCTTTTTGTTTTTGTATTTATGGAAAGGGAAGTTTGAGATTAATAGTCAAATGCCCTGGGTTGATAAGTAGATGTTGTAAAATACTTGAGGATTATTTTTATTAATTTAGGAATTTTAAGAATTCATTTAGGAATAAAAGACAGAGATCTGGAGGGGATTCGCTAGCCATCTGGGCTTAATCTCCAAGACGTTAATCATACCGATCATATGAACTATTGCTTTTTTTAGGATGCTTTGCTTGTTCATAAGAAGGTATATGAGTAGTGTATTTCTGAATCCTACATCGTGATAGTAAAGAAAAACCTATGTGGAGAGTTTCCTAAGAGTCTTCACATGGGACTTGGCTGTTATTGGCTTGTTGATACTACCAAGTCTTTCTACGTTTAGGATGATGGGTTTTGGCCCTAGAGAACTGCTAATTCCCATTACAATTTTTTATACCTTTATTGAGGTATAATTGAAGTACAATAGACTGCACATATTTAAAGAATATATCATGAACAGCTTTGACACATGTATGCATCTGTGAAACCATCACCACAATCAAGATAAACATTTTCATCTTTCCCCAAAGTTTTTTCATGTCCCTTTGCAATACGTTTCTCCCTCCACTCTTGTCTGCAGGTACTACTGACCTGTATTCTGTCACTGTTCAGTGGTTTGCATATTTTAGGACTTTATATAAATGAAATCATATAGTGTGTTCTTATTTTTAGCATGATTTCTTTCACCCAGAATAATGATTTTGAGATGAAAAATAGTTTTTATTGCTGAGTAGAATTTTATTATGAATATACCATAATTTGTTTAGCCATCTACCTTGATGGACATTTGGATTATTTTCAATTGTGGGGTGTTATAATAAGGCTGCTGTGAACATTGATGTACAAGTCATGTGGGTAAATGTTTTTCATTTCTCTTGATAAATACCTAACATGGTATTTACCATCATAGGTTGGTTGACTCATATGGCAGGAGTATGTTTAACTTTTTAAGGAATTGACTGTTTTCCAAAGTGGTTTCATTTTACATTCACACCAGCAATGTATGAGAGTAGGTCTTTTTAATTTTAGGTAATTTAATGGGTATGTAAGTGGTGTCTCATTATGGGTTTTTCTGATCATTTATGAATAATGATGTTGAGCATCTCTTCATGTGCTTATGTAGGCATTCATTTATCTTCTTTTGTAAAGTATCTGTTTACATCTTTTACCCATTTTAAATAATTAAGTTGTCTTTATTATCAAGTTGTAGTATTTTAAAAAAAATACATTCTAAATAAAATTTCTTTTTCTGATATATGTGTCTTCTATTTATTTATTTTGAGACAGAGTCTTGCTCTTTGCCCAGGTTAGAGTGCCATGGCATCAGCCTAGCTCACAGCAACGTCAAACTCCTGGGCTCAAGCAATCCTTCTGCCTCAGCCTCCTAAGTAGCTGGGACTACAGGCATGTGCCACCATGCCTGGCTAATTTTTTCTATGTATTTTTAGTTGGCCAATTAATTTCTTTCTATTTTTAGTAGATACGGGGTCTCTCTCTTGTTCAGGCTGGTTTTGAACTCCTGACCTTGAGCAATCCTCCTGCCTCGGCCTTTCAGAGTGTCAGGATTACAGGCGTGAGCCACCATGCCCGGCCATGTATGTGTCTTGAATATTTCCTCCTAGTTTGTGGTTTGCTTTTCATTTTCTTAATGGTGTTTTTTGGAGGGCAGAAGTTTTTAATTTATCATTTTCTTTTATGTTTCATGCTTTTTGTATCCTATTTAAGAAACCTTTGCCTACCCTAACTGCAAAGATTTCTGTCTTCTAGAAGTTGTATAGATTTTAAATTTAGGTCTATGACTCATTTATAGTTAACTTTTGTGAATGGGCTGAGCGAGGTGGCTCATACCTGAATCCTGGCACTCTGGGAGGCCGAGGCAGGGGGATCACTTTAGCTCAGGAGTTTGAAACCAGATTGAGCAAAAGGGAGTTGCCATCTCTACTGAAAATAGAAAAATTAGCCAGGTGTGGTGGCGTGCACCTGTAATCCCAGCTACTTGGGAGGCTGAGGCAGTAAAGTCACTTGAGCTCAGTAGTTTGAGGTTGCTGTCAGCTAGGCTGATGACATGGCACTCTAGCTCAGATGACAGAACATGACTGTCTCAAAAAAAAAAATTGTGAATGGCATATGGTAAGGATCAATGTTGATTTATTTCTGTTTGTATATCCATTTGTTGAAAAGACTCTCCTTTCTCTATTGAATTGTCTTGGTACCTTTGTCAAAAGCCAGTTGAACATAGAGGACTCTCCTTATTCTTTTACATTGATGTTTGGAGTATTGAAATCAGATAGGTTACGTCCTCTAACTTTGTTGTTCTTTTTTAGAATTATTTTGGTTATTTTAGCTTCTTTCCATTTTTATATAAATTCTAGAATTGTTTTGTAAATATCTATAAAAAGGATGCTTAGTATTCATTGGTATAGTATTGCATGTATAGATCCATTTGGGGAAAATTATTATTTTAATCATATTGAATTTTCTGATTTATGAACATGCTATATTCTATTTATTTAGGTCTTCTTGATTTCTCTCAGCATTGTGTTGTAGTTTTCACTATAAAAGTTTCGAATGTGTTGTGTTCCTATGTATTTTATGTTACTTTGATGTTATTGTAAATGATTTCCTAGTTGCTTCTTGCTGGTATATAAGAATACAGTTGACTTTTGTATGTTAACCTTGTATCCTGCCACTTTGCTATATTCATTTATTAGTTCTAGTGATTGTTTTGTAGATTCCTTGGGATTTTCTTTGTAAGCAATCATATAATCTGCAAGTAGGGAGAGTTTTACTTTGTTCCTTTTGATCTTTTTTCCTTTTTTAAAACCTTATTGCCGGCGGGGTGCCATGGCTCACGCCTGTTATCCTAGCACTCTGGGAGGCCGAGGCAGGCGGATTGCTCAAGGTCAGGAGTTCGAAACCAGCCTGAGCAAAAGCGAGACCCGTCTCTACTATAAATAGAAAGAAATTAATTGGCCAATTAATAAATATAGAAAAAATGAGCCGGGAGCCGGACATGGTGGCGCATGCCTGTAGTCCCAGCTACTCGGGAGGCTGAGGCAGAAGGATTGCTTGA